GGGACGCCAAAGTTGAAGATATGGTTCTTGAAAATCGTGGCATTTGGGAATATCCGAACGTAGCATCATTCACGATTTGAATATGAGCAAAGTGTCACCGCGATTGCAGCCTAAACAAGAGTTGTGCAAAATGCAAATTTGGCAGCTTTGCAAAAAGATGTTGATTTTTTGTCACAAATTGTGACGAGTGATGAGATTGGGGTGCACCATTAGAATCCAGACAATGGATCCTCTTCTAAAAAAGGCTGTTGACGCCTTTTTTGCAAACAAAGAAGGAATGTTTTTTCCAACGGTATTATTTCGTTAAAAGACAAATGGCTTAAGTGCATCGGTGTTAGGGGAGACTGCATTGAAAAATAAAATCATCAAAACAATCCTATGTCTTTTGTTTCATGATAAGGCAGATTTCTTTTCTAGTGTCCCTCGTATAACCGCAAAAAGATTTGTCTGTTAGGTCTTTATTTCAAGGCCTCCTAAGAAAATTATGTATAACAGTGAGTCAGTCACGATCTTAGAACATCTAAAATAAAACCGAAAGCATAATAGGGAATGCAATAATTGATTGATGTAGAATTTTTTCGTCCTTTGAAAGTGCGAAAAAATAAAGCATGTTTCATTTGAAAAAATCAACATTTTAAGGTTTGAAGTTATTAAAGTTGACCATTAGTTTTAAAACACCTTGTTGGTTTGGAAAACTTTTTGAAATTCAAATCAACGGAGTCATAGGCTCAAAAGAATGGCAGTCAAACGTCAAAAATGTTGAAAAATCTTGAATAACTTGAAAACCTTTGATGCTGGGTATAAGGAAATGTGGTATTAAACCACGTACCTTTTCATGTAGATTTCGAAAATGCAAAATACAGGATGTTCGATTTATAATAATAAAGTTGCCATCGACATGCGGTGAAACCGCGATAGTGAAATGATCATGTTAATATTGTAACGGAAATGCTCCAGACATGACGTCGCCTTTGGCGCTCTGGAATTTTCTACGCGCGCGATAGTGGATTGTGTAGATTCCAGAATGTACGCGGATGTTCGGGACTTACATTGCTTGCGTGTATAAATGGTTGCGGACCGAACATCGCGCCAGTCTACTACCGAACGAAATCGAGCGCGGAAATATAAATTGCGAAGTGTGTGTGATATAAATAATTGATATAAATTGTACGGTTTTTATAGTTTTGTTTAATAAATATTGATATAAATCGAACCCGAATTTATAAATCACGTTACAATATTTTCTTTCGATAGATCGTAAAAAACTATGCTGGTATGTACATTTTCAGATTTAAATTATTAATGAAAGTGTATACCTACAAGTATACCCCTTACTTTATGATGCCCCATCCTAAATCACTGATGCGCATTGTGTATAACTTTATCATTCACATTCATATGATTGAAGGGTCAAGCAAACTATCAAATTTTTAAACTTGAGACTTTTCTGGTACCTATTTTTCAGAGCAAACTCCTTTGAAGAACAACATTTATGCTTAGGGACAAGCAACCATTTAAACACTAACCTTGAAAGATTTCCATTCTTCTTGCCCTTGGTCCAAAAATGAGTCTGCTTGAATTCTAACTACAATAGCAGCCAGTACGATTAAATACTTCATTTTGAAGCCTAAAAAAGGTTGCATTTAATAATTTATCGTCGGTCGTCAGCACAGGCAATCCATTCAAATTATATAGGTAGGTACCTAATATCTTAAAATTATCACAGGATTTTAAAAAACTTGATGGAACAAAGCACAATAATTACGTATGCTTATTATTACATAAATATTACAGCTGGCTATGTACCATCGTAATCGTAAATATCATTGGAAAAAGGGTATTTAAATACTTTCAACGTTTATCCCCTCCATTAGCAAAAATAATGTGATTGGTTGTGAATCACTCATACCTGTTTGTTGTGCAGTGCGTGCGTTTTTTATCTTATCATTGTGAAATTGTTTCTTATTTAATTGTTATGGGCATTTTTATGGAGAAATGATTTACCTTTCTGAAAATTTTACAGTAATAATGTTCTATTTAGTATTCACCTTCATTTTCTATCTAGATATCTAATTGCTTATTTCGTCATATTTGTTTGAAGAACCTTCTCCTTTTCCCTTTGCTTTTTGTAGCACATCTGCAACGATATAAGTCGAATTTACACATGTCAAGTAGCTAAAGGAAGTTACTAAATGAAATAATTTGTAAAATGTAGTACGTTTGTTTTAGTGATCGTTTACATGTATTGTTGTTTAGTTGTTTAGTGTTGATTTAAGCATGGTCGGAAAGGTTAGGTACGCGTACGGCAGTGCGGAATTGTATAGGTATTGAAGATATGCGGCGAATTATCCAAAATACTTGCAGAAGAAATGGACAAAAACAAAAAAGAAGCATTGCTGGATAATAAAATGACTGAGCCGAAGAGAAATATAATGGTGCTTCATCAACTTTATTAGAAGAGAATTAGCAGCTGAAGTTGAGCCAGAATATAAAAATTGGTTGAGGATGTCTAAAGAACATTTGGAACTATTACTGGCACACTTGGTGGTTTGGGGGTATTAAATAACCCCCCCCCCCAAACCAACACAAAAAGGCGGGGTACGGGGGCGCTCTCCCGGAAATTTTACAAAATTGAATTGAAGTTAAAAGCTTTTTGATCCGAGAATTTCGCTTGATAAAAAAAATTAAAATTTTGGGGTAGAATTTTATATTTTTCTTTACATGATATATTAGCTTACTATTCATAAGAGAGATTATTAAAATAAAACAACTGTTTATATTTGACTGAAAGAAGTGAAATGTAACTATTTCCCTATGTGCAAACCAAAGCTAAAATACTATATGAAACCTTCTTCTAATTCTTCTAATGTAAAACAAGTAGCAGGTGTCAATTAAAAAAAATTCGTTAAGCCGCTTGTGAGCAAGAGGCAAAGAGTGCACTTTCAAATTTGTTTTTTCGAGCTTAATAGCCCTTATGGACATTTCATGAATACAAACATGACATAATTTTTAATTTCTGGTCGAATGACACCAATACCAACTCTGTAAGTGGTGTAGTTCCGGAGGCTTTGTGACTCAGACAGACAGACATAAGGAGTGCAAAAGTGCGTTTCATTTTTTGAAAGTGAAAGTGCACTAAAAGGTTAGGTCGCATAAACAGAGTAGGCCTCATTGCCAAAGTAAGCTTCAGTTTTGTAAAATACTTTGTGCAACCAAAAAGTATTACAATAAAATCTTTCTGTAATTTATAAGTAGTGTTATTATAGTAAAAAATAAAATCCAAACTTCTTATTTTCGCTCCCTCTCAATGTCGCCCAGTTACAATTTGCTCTGAACCAAATACAGGATATAGGTATGATGTGTTTGTCTGACAAATAAGATCATGTTTTCTAATAAATTAATAATATAGATAATCAATATCATAATATCATATATTTTAGTTAGCAATATAGGTCGTTCTTGTCTCATGGCTCAAGGAAGCCCTTATTTAAACGGGAAATAGGAAAGACCTAATTGACAAGTAATTTTTCTCATCATTAGGTATTATTTGCTACTATTCAAGGCATCGGATTTGAACTTTGAAGTACCAAACCAAATAATGAAATAGAGAAAGTAGATTAGGTATTTACGCGACACAAAATAAGTTGTGTTTGTTCCATATTATGCACTTTGTACCTACTTACTATGTGTATTTTAATGTTATTAGCGCAGATTTGATATATAAATCATCCCTCCTTATTATATACGCCCGCTATAACTTAAGGACCCGAGGGTGCACGAAGATACCAATCGAAACATGTCACATTTCCGCCAATTAAAAATGCATATACTTATTGTTAGTTGTTTTGTTTTAGTTTTTATCAAAGAAGTAAAAAGTGTGAAAATTATATATCTCATTATTGTCATTCATTTGTCAACAAATTCCGTCGAAAGCAAAACGCCCACGCCCTAGTTGCTTTCTGACAAGGTTATGGTTTCGCTCATTCTACTTATTAGACGTCTTTTAGGACAAAAACAGTCACGGCAATCATCGCAGGTAGCCGGCGCTCACTGCAAAACTGGTCGCCTCTGTCCAATTTAAACGATAAAAACTTCAGAAACTTACGCTGCACTGCTTCCAGGGTTGTTTTATGGCAGTCATAGTAAGGATACCAAATAAGAGAACCATACTCTAGTTTGGATCGCACATATGAATATCAGTTGCTCTTTTAGTGGGAATCATAGAATGGACTTTTGTAAACGACCTTTCACATTTGTTTGAAATTGTGTCGCTTCTTAACTCTTTACATGAAGTGTATCATGCGAAGGAAGGGTATCGTCAAATCTCAGTAGGACGTAACTTATAGCGCTTAGGTTTTCTGCAGAGCTTGCAAGTTGCAATACCTACGTCCAAAATATTTACAGGACGGCTATCTAAAACTGATCTTCGTAAAATGGTGATTTTGGTGGTATGAAAGCCAGACTTTACTCAAATTATGACGGCATCAACAACTTCTACATTTAAAGGGTTTTTATAAAATCCTTCCTTGTGATACATTTTTAATAAGCTCTTGGAGTAAGAAGAAAGAGGGGGTACTGTATTACAGCGCTGTGCATAATCGCTTAAGATATAGTCAGATAGATTTGTTATAATCATAGTATTATGTTATTAATGGAATGCTTATAGCATACCTAGCAGTTGTATAATTTGCAAAATAAAGTTCCAAAGTACGGCTAAATAATATTAATTATCACTTTAATCTACGTATTATACCTACTTCAGAACTGATTTGATTTGGAATCACGTAACTTTTCTGATAATGAGTGATTAATGTTAGTCTTAATGACTTGATAATTGTGCGAATAAGGAGGTAATAAATTACTCATTCTCTGCAACAGCACTTACAGGCTGCAACCACAGAACAAACTTTTTTCCACAAATAAATTCCCACGTGTAAAATTGGTCGGTATCTTTAAAGTTGTAATTTTGATAAAAGACCACGACAACGATGTAACGGTCATCAGCCACAATCACGATTTATTCGTTTAAATACATACTGAAATACATTGTACATTATCCGTATCAGGTATTGTTCATGAATAGGTATAAAGTACCTACCATCTCAACGTTTTATAACCTCTGTCGTAGTAACGAATGTTAAATTGGAATTGCTAGAAGGTCGTCGTAAGTACCTATACATTGTGCATTTTTTAGTACCTACCTACACCAATAAGCAATAACATTAAACATTTTAGGAACAGTCCCAACAGCCTGATGAGGGGCCACATGACATTTTATTCCAGTTTCACCACACACTTCCCACCGTTTTCGTCTTTTCGAGCTATTCACAGTTGAAGCAAAGAGTACTTTGGTTGAAGTTTTAATCACACCAGTCTGGTTCACACGTGCCATTTCTCTCTTGCGAGTGCCTTCTCTCGTTCCTGATACAATTATTTTCCTCTGGACCTTACAGTTGCACCATGAAGGATAGAACCTAAATCTCAAAATGCTAATTAACATCGTAAAGCATCGATTAAAGTTATTTAGTTTTTGGTCATTGAAATAATACGTTTGATCTTTTTCCAAGTAGAGTCAGCTATTGAGCTATACAAACCCGAATAGTGCCTCTCCTTCATTTGAAGATTTTTTGCGCACTTTTAAAAAATGAAAACGAACTAGGTAGTTGTAGCGATTTTTCGTAACTACTTTCTGATTATGTCCAAATGTGTGCAAAATCATTTGTATTCACCGGTTCCTTCGGGAAACGCCATACTTCTATGATTATAAGAGCAGTTGAATTTTGTGGTCTTCCGCTTTTGTTCCATAATTTTCCATTAATCACCAATGTCGACCGTTATTTTGTCAATATTGTTAACAGCGCATTTATAATATGTTTTCCGAGAAAGGAACTGATTGAATGGGGAATAATCGTTGGCCATAGGTCAATCTTATTAAGATACGACAAATCTACTGTAAACTCACCTTTGATTAAAACGTAACGTACCCTGGCCGTCTACGCGTTTCAGTTAGTCATATCAACAAAAGTCGCAATTGTTTGTCGCGAGCATCCCAGATTATTAAACCCTGTCTTAGTACGGACATGTTTAATAGTTTAATTCATTTTAATATGCAAGGGAATGGCCTCTTTGTTAAATATTGATAACATGAGAATTTCCACTGCTGGGGCAATAGTATAGGTACCTATTTACTTTTACAAACAAAAATAAATGTGACGGGTCTTCGGAGTTCGATTCCTTTCAATGAATTCTTTGAAATTTAATGTTCTTTTGAATCTAGGCAAAACTGGTCACGAGCTCCTAAGTCTCTTTTAACGAAGATACAAAATAAATACAATTTAACACGTTTCCGACACTTTTATGATCTGATTTTGAATTATTTTTCGATATTCCAATTTGATGGTATTGCAATGATTATAAAGCTTTTGTTCAAAACCTGTGTTTAACCTTAGATATACATATTTTCTTTACGTATATCTGTGATTAACTATCTGCTTTAATGGCACAAAACGAAAATCGATTTCTTCTTTAACTAATTCCACTTGGGCAAAAAATTCAGTAGACTTGACAATGCAATGCACGGCCATAAAAATGCTATACGTAACACCATATATATAAGAGAAGGTAACACTTATATACGTTAAAAATGAAGGAAGATATGGCTTTCGCACGCAGCGAATGTTTGGCAAAAGTTGGCTTCGTCACTATACGGAAAGAAACCCACATATCACCGGGGATATGTAACGCAGTCAACGTGTTAAGATCCAATAATACATAAGCAAAAATCTTAATCGTTTATATCTAATAATGGACACACTGTACAATGTATTGATAATGGACACACTGTACAAGACTGATTGATATATGTTCTGTGGTTGTGGATGTGTTCTGTGTTACTAACCTTCTAACCTAGAAAATAGTAATCCTAGCCCTAGGATCATTGTGATTTACGTACAATCTTTGAATTTATAGTATAGTACAATCATTCGGGTGAATGTTTTACATAGTTCTGTCAATTTATTGTGCTAAAAATCATTTACTAACGGACATTAAAATGATGAGTATGCTCTAGATTGTGTTGTAGTAAAATTAATCGGTTTAGTAAACTAGTAGAACCACGAATTACCAAAATGCCTTGTTGGTATTATGACAAGAGGGAGTTACGGAATACTCCTTCTGCACTAGATAATATTGATTATGAAACTGAAATGCGGTACCGAAAGGAAGGTAAGATGTTTGTTTTTATACCTCTCTGGTATATACACGATATCTGTACAGGAGCACGTTTTATCATGGACACTGCCTTTAAAATGGACTTAGGATGTAATACGAAGGCTACTGGTGCCGTTTACTTCCATAGATTTTATATGTTTCACTCATTTAGACAATTTCCTCGGTACGTAACCGCTTGCTGTTGTTTATTTCTCGCTGGTAAGGTTGAAGAAACACCAAAGAAATGTAGAGATATTATCAATACCGCTCGTGGTTTATTAAGCGATGCTAAATTTAGTACTTTCGGTGAAGACCCTAAGGAAGAGGTGATTGTAATTGCGTTAATTTTTACCTAATATAAATGTGTTTAGGTCATGACTTTGGAAAGAATTTTGCTGCAAACAATTAAATTTGACTTACAAGTGGAACATCCTTACCGTTACTTACTCAGGTATGCAAAATGTTTAATAGGTGATGAATCAAAACTGGAAAAAATGGTGCAAATGGCGTGGACGTTTGTTAACGATAGTTTGTGTACAACACTGTCACTGCAATGGGAACCAGAAATAATCGCAGTGGCACTTTTGTATCTTGCCGGAAAACTAAGTCAGTTTGAGGTCGTAGATTGGGTTGGTCGTACTAATAAGCATTTGCGATGGTGGGACATGTTTGTGGAAGACGTTACTTTGGACTTACTAGAAGATATTTGTCACCAGGTAGGTTATGTGAGTCACGTCTGATCAAGCATAATTTTGACTGAATGTAGGTGCTCGACCTTTATTCACAACCTGTTGCCGAGGCACCTCCTGATAGTCCACCGCTTTCACCAAAACCACCTTTACCGGCTCCATCTTCGAGCAAAACAAACGGTCAAGAAAAAGAAAAGACTGAAACTCCAAAAGTGAAACCACCACCCATCACCACTACCACCGCTACTACACCAACGGTTGCACCAGTAGTTCCTGAAATTCCGGCCTACAGCTACCCGCCAGCATTCCCAGCCGCCGCATCACATGCCGGATCTTACCTACCCCAATATACAAATCCCACAGTTGCACCTCCACATATCGCAGCTCCACCTCCCGGACCACCCCCACCCCACATATCCGCTGCACAGGCCGTTTTATATCCGCCATATGTGGGCCCGCCGCCCCATTATGCCCCTGTTGTACCACCTGCATCGTTTTATCAGCCTGCCCCAGCTGCTCCTCCTCACCGACCTTTTTACCCTCCACCAAGTTAACCTATGGGTTTTTTCTATTTCGATCATGTTCTCATATGAGTGAGTGAGTATTATACGAATAGGTAGAAATTATATTTGTGGTAATTCATTTTTTTTAACAATCGAAATACAAGATTCATTGGTTCACAAGAACGGTGTTTGCTTGTTTTGGAAAAGCGAATTTTGACTGATATTCAGTATATTTCCTTCTGCTCTGACTGTGAATGTAAACTTGTTTCAAAACAAATATTAAATAATTGATATTGTAAGGTGTTTTTTTTAGTTTATCAAAGAATGATACCATTGAATTTATAGTTATAAATTAAATTCAATGGTATTATCTACACAAAATGAAACCATGAAATACAATGAAGGACAAAATGCTCAGAAGTTCATTAAAAAAATGGAATTGAAAAATGATATAGTCAATTTGTACTACATCTAAATTTACCTGTGATTCAAAAATGAATCTAAGAATTGCCAGAGGGACATAATTCTCATAAAAGATTTATGATTATGAATGAAGAAGTATTATTCTATTTCTCTCGCCCATTGGTCAGTTCACGCGTTGCAAATGTTTAACAGCTGCCTTGGTCGGCTGTCGCCAAAGAGCTAAAGTTTCTGAACAAGGCATCACAGTGACAGACCACATGTTCGATAATTTCATCTGTCCCACCACAACATGCACGTGGGCTCTTCTTTATGTTGCATTTTTATGGTAGTCTTATAAAAATTAGTTTTTTCACTACTAGCGTCTGATGACAGGATTATTAACCTTTTTTCCACTTGTAAAGTAGGCTTTCCGGCAGTTGTTCAAAGTGTCAATAATGAGAACTGTCACGCTGTCACTTAGAAATCACAACCCGAAATTTCGCTCAATAAACGTTTAGACAAGTTCACTAAAATGAATAATTGCCACCATTTGTCATTTCGAGAGAAATTGCAACTTAAAATTATCACATTTTGGAAAAATTCGAAGGAAATTACTCTTTGAAAATATCTCAATGCTAGAACAAAACACGGCCTCCTTGACTTTTACTTCCACGTACTTGATTGACATGTTAAATTAATAAACAAAAAATTCTGTTCAACCGTTCACTTTTTTAACAATATAGATCTCTTAATTTAGAGGACTTCAAGTACTAGTAGTGAAAAAAATAGCATATATACCACGGTAGAGAAGTCCCTTCACACCTTGGCAAAAGCGCCTCGGGATGTAATCTTGGTGCTCAGGCAATAATACTAGACTACCTTGGTATACAATGTACTATTAATATGCAGTTTCCGAGGTAAAATTATTACTCTCTTTTTTCGTGTAGTTTTTTCACAAACAAAATTTCATCAGCAGGCTGCACCAAAATGTTTTAGCGTATTTTTGATAAGAAATACTACTACATACGTGAATTCCATCAGGGGGTTTGAGATCTCAGCGCCGAGACTGTATAGAAGTTGTATTTCTAAAAATTTAATATAGGTATTTTAATAATTACCTACATGAACGAAAAATTTTGTAGGCCTGCTTGGTCATATGGTGTAGATTGTAAGTAATTTTCAAATTGGTTTCAGATTCTCGTGAATACAAGTGGCCTTACCTTAAAAAAATAAGTCACAAACAATAAAAATAGAGATACAAATAATATATTTCAATTATTAAAAATATACACACGACTTTGTCGTATAAATACACGTTTTTATTTTCTCCAATATTGAGCAAATTTATGCAGTTGTTCAACCAACGCAGCCATAACAGCAGTGACCGATAGGTCAATAAGATTTTGCATGTACCTAACAGCCTCTTCGTCCCCTAAATCTAAACGTAGCTTATCTTGTACCTTTTTAACTGCTTTATCAGGTTCTAACGCTATGTCTGGTACACTTGCATCCACCATTAGAGAAAATAAATTTAACATTAAGTTCGCGTGCCTACAAGATATGTTGCATTGCATGTAATGCAGAAGTAATATAATTACCTTCTTAAGTGTAGAAAAGCGGTATAACATTGTTTCCTAAATTCTTGATAATGTTCGGAATTAACCCCACCCATGCCTTCCACCATCTCCTTGCTTAGCTTCATGGGAGGAGGTAGTGGTTTTGGATCTCTGCCTAATATGTAACCAAAATCTATATGGAATAATTTTCCGGAAGTGGTTAGCAACAGATTATCAAGATGTCGGTCACCCACACCTAGGAGGTACGTGATCACACAATATCCGGCACAAGACCGTACATAGGTATCCATTATTTCTGGTGCGATACCATAAGGACCACATTCGTGGGGATGGTGCTTGCGGAAAAAATTGTGAATGCTACCTACAATGGAGTTATTTTAAATGGATATTTTAAAATAAGACACACCTTCAGTTGCTAGCACTTCTGCTACAGTTATCGAGTCAATAAATTGTAAAAAGCCATGCTTGGAACTGGTGGCCAATACGCTATATGGAGTAAGTTTTAAATCGAGGTTTTCTTTTCGTAACAATTTATCCATTAATGTAATCATTTGTAGTATAAGCTGATCTTGCCTAAGATCATCGCCGTGTTTAAATATTGCTACATACTCCGTATTGTCAACAGTCATAAAATGGAGTTTCGATGGCATAAGTGCAGATTTGAACAAGTTCGCCCTTTCTGAGATGATACCTTTGATTTGTATCTCTGGATCTAAAGGCAGCGGAAGTGGTTCGAAATTTTTAAAATTCCATTTAAACACGTCCGGATCGGACAGTAGTTGTTGTAACTTCTCAATTTTCTTTTTCCGGTTTCCGCTTTCTCTAGAAACACACTTGACTAGTTTCACTAGTTTGTCTATGAACTTTTGTTGGCGGGCTAAAATATCTCTCCTTCTTTGCCATTCTACATTTCCTCTCACAAGAGTTTGAGAAAAAGTTTTTAGTACAGTGAGGTACATATCTCTCACCATCACCTGAAATTGTAATTTCGTGTCAAAATGTAACTTAACAATGCGCATGCGTAACTTACATCTTGTTTTATTGTAGCCTCTTGATCCTCGCATTCTATTAACAGATACCAATAAAAATAATTGGCGAGAGTTGAATTTTTGCAAGCTCTGTGTATTAAAAACGATGCTAAATCTTGAATTTCCTCTTCCTCCTTCATTTCGCTTTGTAATGTATCAGTATTGGCAGAATCAGTATTTATGTTGAGGTTATCCAGGAGGCCACCCGCTCGTTGACTCGACTCTATATCTATAATACTATTTACATTTGAGGATGCGACTTGTTCCCCTTGATTGACACTAACAGATCTACTTATGACAGTTTCATTAGTAATTGTACTGTTACTTTCTTTACTGTCTCTCTTTTCTAATTGTGCTTCTTTTTCGTCACTCGTTACCATCACTTCTTTTCCCGGAAATACTCTACGGTAACCTACATAAACAGTAGATGAGGACAAAACCTAATTTAGATAAATTCACCTTCTTTAATGTCGTCGAAATTTTCATATTTAAGAGCTTGCACAAGTTGGAGTAAATAAAGCATCAGATCTTCATCGGGTGCTTGTTGTAATCGCGATATGGCATACTTTCTAACAGTGGGATGTTGAAAATTGGGACTTAATAATTCCAAGGCATCTTCGATGTCCATTGGAGCCCAAACTTCTAACATTTGAAGAGCTTGTCTCACTTCACCATTCTGTGTCCAATTAACACATTTTAAAAATTTTGTTAACGCCTTCTTTTGATTGCTTAGATAAAATCTGAATTTCCACACTTGATCTTGTTCCTCATTCGACAATTGTTTCGTAGGAGGGTACGATACTATTATATTCAACATATCGCGTACAGTCGCATTTGGTTTGGCATCCTTATCCGAGTACCCACTTCTCAAAGACCGAGCTAACTTGTGATGTTTACTTTCGACCAAATTTTCCTGAATACAACACAATCCAGAGTAAGATTTAAAATGAAATCCGAGCTTAAATTTAGATTTAAATAAAAAAAATTTTTTATTTGCGACCATGCTTTATGTAACATAATCACATGCGAATGTAGTTATTGAAACCTTTTATGAGCAATTCATATTATAATTGGATTGATCTATTTAAACGTGATTTACCTTGAGAATTTCCTGATCTGGGACTGTGACGATATCCGCTTGCGCTCTAAATTGGTAAACTTCGTCGCCGTCCTGTTCAAAATATACGACATGGTGGGGCTTGTTATCCACCAAAATTGTAGGAAATTCAATCATTAAATATAAATAGTTTGACGATCTTTTTTCTTTTTCATTTATTATTTCTAACTCCCTAAATGTTAAACGATCCAGCCAATCTACCTAAAACACATATTGAAAAACTTAAGTGCGTTGAGCGTTTCCAGATTTATTTGAAATTGCTTTAATTTTAGGCTAATTACAGCTGTATACATTTCCTCCGAGTGGATTAATATCCAGAAGAAACACAAGTTTAAATTAAAAAAAAAATCGCATGTAAAGTGGATCTAAGAATGCGGCAGAGTGGTGTGACCCTACGGGGTCACTGTATTTGACCCCGTGAACCCGTTATTCTTTGAGCATTTACGTCAGAGTAAAACTATATTGAGGAGTTTGAAATAGGCAAGACAAGTACGAACTCAAAAATGACAAAGTGGTATATTATTTTAAAATTTTTAACAGTACCATTCACAACATACAGAGTTTCTATAGTTAGTTCACAAATAAAGTGTTACTAACTTACTCTGACAAATGAAAGTTTAGCCGTTAATCGACCTATAGGTGCTTCTGAGGTTTTCAATGTACTAACTCCATTGATTAGAATATGTGTACCTATTTTGTGTAGGTAGTTTTTGATGCTGATGGATATTCCGATGCGATATTTCGAAAAAAATAATTGGAAATATTGGATTTTTACGTCACTCGATAGAGAAGAAATTACAAAACCAGTGATACTAAACACTTAGTATTTCATTTGGGAATCAACCTTACATGTTTGTTTCCATGGCTGATTATGAATGAAACCAAATTCGATCATTTATTGTCTCGCATAGTCACCATCGACACGGCCATTGCATTTCCTCTGGTAATGTAAAAATTTGTTTTCATTTTCCCAAGCTTAAACCGTCGGAAATGGACGATTTCCGTTAGCACTTTATTTTAGAGAATCTGAATCAGAATTTCCATAGTACGCTAGATGTAGAAGCTACAGACTAGACTTTCTCATTTCTTATAGACCCCATATTGGATTTTTACGAAATGAGATAGAAAACAAAAAAGGGTAAATAGCGACGTGTCACACTCCATATTTTTATATAAATTTACAAGAAAAATTTCAAAATCAAAAGTTCTACATTCATTGTTCAACAAAAGATCCATGGGTAACTAGATCTTGCTGAATAAACATGGCTATGATGGCGTTGCATTCAAATGAATTTTTTTTGGTCATCTCTTCCTGAAAAAATCCAATAAGAACATCCTATAAGATCTAAAAATGTAGTACCCTGTAGCTTCTAAATCTAGCATGCTATGTAAATTCTGATAGTGATAACAGATTTAAATTCTCTGGAAAATAGTGCCCATAGAGGGTGCTACCGAGAACCGTCCATTTCTGACCGTTTACCCCGGAGAAAATGAAAACAAAATTTGACATTTTCAGTTTTTTGCCGATACCTCAGTTATTATTTTCAAAGATTTTTCAAAAATGCAAAAGCGTTTTTATAGTCACATAAAGCGACAAGTTTGCCCCCATTTAATCTTCACTGTATATCTTACTGTTATGGAAATCCCAATGGTGGGCCACGAATTTGAACCACCCTGTACTTATACAGGTATGGAAAAAAATTATTGCGGGTCTGACTTATAATCAGGGCTATAGCGAAAACATCAGCAGTGAGGGGGGGAGGACGTGTCAAAAATGCCAACTTGAACTCGAAATATGCCAACTTAGAAATGCACGGTACTGGCCAATTGTGGTGGCAGCACATTGTAATTACTATCTACATCACTTACAAGTGATTTCTTCAGTTCAGAATCAGTTTGCTTGTCAAAACGAACGGAATTAATCTGATTGCATCACATCAGTTAGGGTAAAACGAAAATGCTTTTTAATTGTATTGTTTTTTAAATCTTACACGTTACACATACTAGCCTTAATAGCTCACCTTCGAAATGTGCCCATTACGATGCTTTTTAGCCAACTTTGCCAATCTTTGCATCTGATGTTTACCATGATCTCTAATTTGGCCGGGCGTTTCACTAGGAAAATTACCGTCGGCTTCCACATTTGGCCAAACTCTCAAATCTAATATTCCCTATAATAATAACAGAGATAAACGCCATTGCATAACTTACACTAGAAAACACCTCACGAAAAACGCCATGTTTGCTAAATAACGAAATTGTGGTGCCACCTACAGGCGTTAACTTATTCGGCCCTACACAATCATATATCGTTATAGCCAATTGTGCAGATCTAGGCAAATCGTTAAACTGTACGGGTAAAGTGACCCATTCGTTCCAACTAAAAAATTACAATTTTATGTTGAGCGAATACAATACGTAAGTTGTTTACTTCCACCGAGTTGTAAACGATTTGTACGAGGTCGATATTGGCAAAGCTAAAGGGGAATTCTGATCAAATATTTGACAAAGTACCATCAAATCTGCACAGCCGTCTTGATATAATCCGGAGTATTTCAATAAGAGGTCTTCGATCAGTTTGTTGTATTCCGGTTTTTGTCTTCTTCCTTCAAGGGTTCCGCTATAAAAAAGTAGATGAATTGAGGCGATTGGATCAAATAGTTTCTTACATTTTAATTTGAATTCTGTGACTTAGGCTGGAACTATATACGTAATAAAATTTATCACTCAGTTCTTCCATTATTGCAAGATGCTTGTTTAATTGTTTATTGAATGCAGTGTAACTTTTTACATAATTTTCATTGTTGTTTATTTAAATTTTTCATATTCTGGTTTGGTTAGAAAAATAAAAACAGATGGACACAGATGCACATACACCATTGACCATAGACTACAATAAACCACCATGAACACAGGATGTCGTTGTAGATATATTGACAATTGACAATTACACGGTCTACACGGTGTTTCGAAATGGTAGCGCCCGTTGCGTTGATTCGTCAAACGGATAATACATTTTGTTAAGGTTCATAGCAATCCGTCCACATTGTACATTTGCAACATATAACCATAACCTAAATTTTATTTTGTACTATACCCTCCGTGATTTTCAGTATTGAAAAATGGTACGAAAGTAAGAACACGTTGCTATCTGATTATTACCCTGAAGAACGAATAGGTGAACACTGTTAACGTACCAAACATAACCTCACTCTTGTTAAAAACGGACCAACGGAAACGTAAATGTTCAACTTCAACCAACTTTTCCGTCGTAAACGGACGACGTACGATTTAAAAATTTGCTGTCTTCTGATTGGTTAACGGACAAACGGAAACGTATGAACGGAGAGCTATGAACCCACCTTTTAGGTTTCAGTGGCCGATGCGTCAGCTGACAGCTGATGACGTTTACGTTTTTCGCATCGCTCGCGCCGGCCCCGTTCGTTCTTTCCTTTTATGTGCCATTTGCCACTGTCACTGTGCTGATCTGTTCATCTCCTTACGAAATCGTTTTACGCAGCGCTGTTCTGCCAGCCACTGTGCCAATGACAGACAAGCGAGTCGCTTTTACGGACGCGGACGCTCATCAGCAATCAGAAATGAGGAAAGTGTTGGCGCCGAGCGGCCAGCAGGTATAAAACGAGGGGTGGCTGCGGCTCGATTGATATAAAGTCGAGCTCCTGTATGACAAAATCACTGGCACATTGAAAAACCTCACTGGTAATGAAGCTGGAGCTAATTAATCACTCCGTTAGTGGAACACCGTACACAGAAGACGAGATAGAACGATACGACACGTGCTCAGACACGGAGGATTAGTACAGCTAGCTATAGAAGGTAGGGCAGATGGCAAGAGAGGGATAGGAGGACAGAGGTTTAGATACATAGACCAAATAGTTAGGGACGTAGGCAAGGGTAGTTATGTAGAAATGAAAGGTTTATAGTGCAGGATAGGAAAGGGTAAAGGACTACGCCCAACCAATCCCAGGATTGTGGACTCCAAGGAGAAGAAGAAGACCTAGTTGTGCAAAGTCGCAAAAATAATAGAATTTTCATAGAAGCACAAATTGGGTGGTTCCCAACAAGTCTTTAAATAAACATTTTTGTTCACAGTTTGTTTATAACCTATAGGTACATATTTGTTTGGGGAGCAATTAGTGTTCCAATCCTGTTTTCCAGGAACCTAACAGTATCCTTGGATAACCGAAATCTCTGCCGAAATTCCTCTTCATCCCACTTGCCGAAATAATCAACACAAATTTCTGCTCTTCTTCTAATGAACTCATCCTATGATGACTAACCAACCCCTTGCACGTCCAATTCCAATTATTTCCATTTCGTTATAAATAGAAATAATGACAACAAAATAACATGGTTACGATAACCTTACATCATTACACGTTCGCGCGCCTAATCTCCGTTTGGGCGCCCAAACCCGAGAAAATTGGCGGGTTGACCACAATCGGAGATTGGGCTCTGGTTAAGACTCAAGCGGCGTTTATAATACGCCCAATCGCACTCAAACTACGATTGAACGCCAATCGGGCTTTATAATACCCGCCCTAAGTGCCCTTTCACCCTGGGTGACTTAGCAGCGGGACGGGATGCAGTGAAGCGCTGCTGAGCAGCCAGCAGTGCGACGGAGTCACTGCGACACAGTTGCACGGTCAAATCCAGTCGCGAGACGAAGCTACTGAACGTGCGATTCTGTCGCGCTGCTGGCTGCTCAGCAGCGCTGCACTGTGTCCCGTCCCGCTGCTCTGCAGCGCGATTAAGCAGCGCTGCTAAGTCACCCATTGTGAATGGGCACTATAAATGTCTGTTTAAAGTTTAAACTTCAGTTTAGTTTAATTGACAGATTTCAGAAACACGATTGGTCAATTTGTGAAATATTAGCCAATCAAATCCTTTAACCCACAATTTAACTATAAATTGAAGTTTAAACTAACATTGTACAATTGAACCGACAATAAAATTGTTGTTCTGTTGCAGAGACTTGTTATAACTAGACCGCGCGTAACGTAGATTTTACTATAAACGCCTGTTGTCAAGATAGGATAGGCAACCAACTGTTCATCGCGGGGCAGACGTACGTTCTGCAGCTTGCTTTAGCCATGTTTATTCTAAATTTTAGTAGCAAAAAAAGATAACATGTAGCTGTTAACTGTTTTAATCGAATTTATTGGTATTTTATTTGAACTAAATTGGTATATAACTGCCTTACTCTAGTCCTAATTTGATTTATATGTGTATTTTGGTGGTGAACACGTATGGGAAAATATACTCTTAAAACTAAAGATGTAAGTAGTAAGATATGATTATTTAGCGGATTTTGATTCAATATATGCCTATCCAAAAACCCAAATGGGCTGTAACTGTTATTTATTTTTCTTAGACTGCTGATAACCATTTTGTTTACAACGCGGTGTGGTGTGGATTGAATGAAAAACCTGAACACATTTTCAGCAATTTGGCAAATTTTTAATGCATCGCTTGATACGTGCAACAATCCTCCACGATTTTTTCTAGTTAAAAGCTTTGATGCGAATATCGCATCTGCACATATGGAACATTTAACAGACTTAGCTATTTTTCTTGTAACAAAACCTGAAATATACTTGTACCAGTAAGTACTTAACGTCTATACCTAATAGGCAAATAGGTACTGCCGTTGTCTTGCTGGTAAAGGATGTCGAATAATAGTTCTACGTTATTTTAAGTGAATGGGAAAGTCGAAAACGCTCGGTATTGCATTATTGTTTAACACCTTCGTAGGTACCTTTCTAAAATCGGCTTCATTCCCCGCAAATGCACTATGGTGGGAGTAAATTTTTCTCTTCGAATGGCTCTGATCCATTGGCCCTTTAAACTTTTATCCGTTGAAATCAGCATATTATTTAAAAATTTATCGACAGAGTACATGTTGATAGGCACAAGTTAACCTAAGTTTATTGGTTTATTCTCAACAGAAATTTATCTGTTCACTAATAGTTTCCGCGATTTTTCAAAAACCTTGAAAATGAACTCCAAGCACATTAAAAAAATTAGTGGTACTCATTTTTTTGCCAAGAGAAATCGTTGTGATTAGCAAACACGATTTTAAAATGAACGGCGTTTGAAAAGTTTCGAATGACCGCCATGTTGCTGTGACGTCACTACGCGCGTTGGCGCTCAGCCGTAGCATTGCTTACAATCGATTCAGAGAAAGAAAACGTCGTTTTGACGGAAAAAAGCGTCGAATAATTATTGCATTTGTACCTGAGCGTGATAGCAGAAGTCATCGCGAACCTAATAAATTGTATATAAACGTCCCAACAGGAAATATACGAAAAAAGTTCGACGTGATACCGCGAGTTTGACATTCCATTTGTATTGTTGTGAAGACGATTCTAATTAATTAAAGTACATAATGTCGATTTACTTTCAGTCAGTTATCGACGAAAATCCATCGATATATAATATTGTAATTGTAATTCAGAATATGATTTACTTCGAACTCTGTTCTGGGCATATCTGTGCCCTCACAGCGCTGAGCGCACACATTTTTCTCTATTTTCACTTCCACATATCCAACACCCTAATTTTCTCGTTGAAATCCGTAAGGTGCATACTTTATTAGGTACCTACACTATACCTTGCACTATACACACAAAACTTTGATTGTTATACTTCCAATAACCATAACCAGATTTGATTCTGGGCTTTGACTCACTCAACGGTGCCAGGAAAAACTCACTTTCCGAGAAAAGGCGACGACCATTAACCACTTCAACTTTGGCATGTACTATCTAAATGCCCCTTTACGAAACCAGTCAGAACTCAGTTATTGGCAGATTCGCCATAATAAGTTCGAATCAAACTTCCTATAGTGTCATGCACTAATAATTAACTCCGATTCGGCAAACCCGCGTATAGTGATCGTAAGCGACGCTCGGCCAATATCGGCATGTCGTCGTTGCATGACAAAATTTTGTAAAGTTTTTACGATATTATATGTTTTGTTTCCTGACATGTTTGCAATTAGTAAAAAAAAATTTTGTGTATATAGTAGATGTTTAATTACATGTTATAACTTTACCGTATAAGACACAAAAAAGTTACAATATTTTTTTTTCAGAGAACCCTATTCGATGCTAATCATGTAAATGATAATGAATGTGAACATCTAAAATAACAGTCTCATTCATATTATTGCATATCATCTCAGCGTATTTTTTCTCCCGTTGCATTTTGTTTGCATCCGTGTGTGTCTGTACAACACCTTATCGTGGTGCTCAAACACTCGTGATTACTTGTGCGATATAACACATATTCTTGATTGGGTAATTATCGATCTTGTTTCTAGTTGCATTGGAGATATCGCACTCACACGTTACGTACATTTTACAAGTTACGTCTGAGCAAATTATTGGTCTAACATTGTAACACTTATTCCTTTTCCAGTCAATCATTAACTGCATTTTCTCTTTTTATTGTCTTGTTTAATTACCATCCAAATACGCTCTCATTTTCATAAAAACAGTAAATTCCAACACAATCTCATTTTCCACTCATTTCAATAAAAAAAAAAAAAACAAAAAAAACTTCTTTACTCTTCCGTCTTTAACTAAAACTAAATTATAATTCTGTACTAAACAAATTATTTTCATTCTTTTACGCCTGCTACAATCTAATAATTATTTACTTTGTCAATTTTCTAATAATATCCCTTTTACTCTACCAATTTTTACCTACAATAAATGAAAACTAACTATTACAATTAATTACAATTAACCCACTCACACTACATTCCAATTATACTTAATTATTACTTATTATTCTCCAATTACACTATTCCTTCTGATCCCTCTTTATATACTTTAGCCATTCTATTTATATCAATTCCTATCTTTCAAA